AGTGATCCGCTCAACAGACATGTGAGCATGCCTGATATCAAAGCTCTCAGGACCCTGCCAACTTTAAAATTAAAAAAAAAAAAAAATGAGATAGTTCTCAAAACCACAGGAACAAATTCTTCCTGTCCCAGGGTTTTAGCCTCATGGGACAAATGAGTGGATGTGTTGTTTTAAACCACGTTTGTGACAATGTGCTATAGTAGTAGCAGGGAACTTAGGCACAATAAAAGCATAGTGTCAGGCCAGACTCCTGATATAACATATTCACTCTGCTCCTGCCATTAGAGGGCCAGGACCAGAGTCTCTGTGTGACTGGATAACCAACAGGGAAAGTCCAGACCTTAGCTTCCCGGACCGCCACCATCCCAACCCTCCATCAAGGTGCTGACATCTGTGGGGGATGGGGACCAAGGCTCTCTGGTCACATCAATAAGCCCCTGTCAATCAAGCATGGTCTCGAGTTCCCCATTCACCCCTGACGTCACCAGTTTATTCGGCATTTTTTTTTTAAAACGAAAAATAAACAAGAGTCATAAAGGGACCTGAGTTTGTGAGAATAGCTTTTAATTTAAAACTATCAAAGCAATAAATTATCCATCTCTTCCCATCACAGGAGAGTACTCTCCCAAACACTTGAAGTAATTTCCACACCAACCGTGACTAGTGCAAAATAAATAAATACCAAGTCTTCCGGCAACCAGCAACGATGCTGCTGGGCAGGCGGGCACGGGTCAGGCTCAGCCTCTGCCCAAGCTGAGGAGCACTGAGCTCCCCCAAGCCTTCCCACTTGCCCAGCTGTGAACAGACCGCAGGACACCCAGGGAGGGGAATACAAGAGAATGTTGCCTGAGGAGAAGGCAGTATGTTCAAACCCCTGCTGTAGCTCACATCCACCACACCCTGAGGATGCTGGGAAAGCAGGCACTAATCCACAGGGCAGCTCCAAAGCAAGGGTGAAGAAAGGCCATTGCGGATGCACTACTCTTGTAGCTAAACCGGGGAGATGTATTTTTTTAAAAAAAGCAGAAAAAGCTTTTATTTCTGGGGCTTGTTTGGGACTTGTGTGTTCCCAATATGTTGCTTCCATTTGGAGCCTCTGTAAAATTCTCCTCTTGCACGTGGAATTTCACTGCCCACCTCACAGTGTGGAGCACTAATGGAAAGGCCATTAGCCACGGAACCAAATGTCTCATGAGCCACACTAGGAACAGATGGCCATGGAGTGGAACTAATTTAAATATTAAATTACTGTTACATTTAACCCATGTATCCCCCATCATTTGCAATCGATATGATGAGATAGTCATACTGTTTATTCAATCCTTCAAATGTTAGTATGCATTTTATATACGCAGGACAATCTGAGTATAGACTGGCCAAATCCCACCACCCTGAAGGGCTACAAAATCTTCCACAAACTCTAAGAACGATTTATTGAGTAGATGTGCTGATTAAGTTTTCTTTGATTTTGTTAATTTGACCCAAGCTCTGGTCGTCTGGGAAGAGGGAACCTGAACTGAGAAAATGCTCACAATAAGATTAACTTGTAGGCAGGCCTATGGGATATTTTCCCTCATTAGTGCTTGCTGTGGAAGGGCCCAGCCCACTGTGGATGGCGCCTCCCCTAGGTAGGTTGTCTTGGGTTGTGTAAGAAAGCAGGCTGAGCCAGCCACTGGGAACAAGCCAGTGAGCCACAGCCCTCCATGGTCTCTGTCTCAGTTCTTATCTTCAGGTTGTTGCCTTGAGTTTCTGCCCTGGCTGCCCTTCATGGTGGCTGGAAGTTACAGTGCAGTAAGTCCTGTCCTCCCCACGGTGCTTTTGGTCATGGTCTTTATTACACCAATGAAAAGCAATCTTGGACAAGAGAAAACCCTGGTGGCATCAGGGAGGCAATCTTACCCACTAACTTAACAATATGGACCTTGTCCTGCCACCTGGGAGTTTTTACCTAACAGGCAGAAGCACACGTCTCTAACCCACCCTCTGTTCTGCCCAAGTCTCCTGGCAGCTCTTCACGGGATCTAAGGACCCAGGGTGAGACTCAGCAGCTGTGGTGTCTGTGATGACAAAGACAGACTATCCAGGACAGATATCTTTGTCAGCACTGATCTGGGCACCGGGGCGACCGTCGGGGGCACTGAAATTTTAAAATATTTTTCACATTAGACTCACTCTGAGACTTTTTCAAGAGGGTGCCATAAACAAACTGCTGCTTTTGCTTTGGAGCGGGACAGTCACAAGGGGCCTCGCAGACTGAGGAGTTGTGGGGAAATGGGATTACCAAGGGAAACAGACCAGGAGCAGAAATGAGGTGTTAACTCACGATGACGGCTCCAACAAACAAATAACGGCAGACTCAGACACCTGAGCTTCCGGTTGCCACAGCTCATGTCTGATTCGGGTTGTAATCACAGAAAAGTAAAAGTAAACCATGGCTGTAGGACATGGACTACCAGGGACTTCCAGATTGTCTGGTCTAACCTTCTGGTCCGCAGACAAAGGCCCATAGAGGTAGAATGGCTCCAGCAGATCACACTGAGAGGCAACGCCAGGACGTAAGCCTACTTATGAGTCTGCAGCTCAGGTAATGGGAGCCCCGAGGGACGCAGGGGAGAGAGCAGGCACATTCTCTTGTAGGATTGGGACAACAGGCCAGGCAATTCCAACATACTGAAGCAACGTTGATATAAAATGTCATTAAAATATGATTCTTCCCAGCTTCTTTTCATTTAGAAGAAAAAGAAAATTCCATCTGTACCAAACTGGATTTCTGATTAGTTATTTGGGTATTTAGACCAAGCGACAAAACAGAAACTTTGACCCATTTTTCCAAAGACATCTTTGGAGTCTACAGAAAAGGATATCAAAAGATATTTACAGAAAAAAAGTTTTGTCCTTCACACAGACGCCTACACGCAGAGAGAGAGCCACACGATCACCCTGCCACATCTCACCCGGAAGACTCCTGGCAGGGGCCTCAGCAGACAGAGCCCACACACTGTTCCAGATGTAACCACACGCATGTCCTGTCTACACACATGTGTAAAGTAAGTGGTACATCCCACTGCTATCCAGAGAAGGTTGGCATACCAGGAGACACATGCAAGCACATTGCTAACAAAAAGCCGCTGCTCACGCCAGTGCGCCCAGCTCCCAATATGAAGAAATAGCGCATACACAAAACCTTGCCGTAAAATAGCCCTTGTGTTTATGAGGCAGCGGGAGAGGCAGCCAGGATACACTTTTTCGAAGTATGCCTCGGCATCAGAAGGAGTTCATTTGCTTAATCTACCTAATGAAATTAAGTAGTTTATAGCCTAAAATCTTTAATGTGGATTTTATACCATTGATGTTGCAAAGTTTTTATAAAATTTTTATTTTTTGTTCAAAATATACATGCTATCTGTGACCACGTTTGAATTCAAACCTCCAGAGAGCTTCCTACCCCGACAAAAGGCCTTGCTTTGTAACACCGCAAACCAGCCACTCATGAGGCTGTTCAGGGCCATTATTCTATGACGTGTGGCCCTACAGGGAGGCTGCTTAGTGTGGAAATTCCCATGGGGTGAATGGGGGGACAGAAAGGGACATACATAACAGAGACTTAGGGTCTTGGAATCAAACGTAGAAGGGGCCTCAGGAGGACAGTGTTGTGGAGAATCACTGCCCTGTGTGCTCCCTCCTTCTGCCACGTCATTTGATCCCAGATGGAAACCGCATCGGCTAAGTCCAGAAGGCAGGCTGTGAGCTCTCCCGGAGCCTACCATGTTCTGCCTTCTGCTCTCTGGGAAGGTTCCTGATCAAAGCCTGCTAGAAAGAGGAGTATGTCGCCTCGCCACCGTGCAGATGAGGAGAATGAGGCACACATAAAAGGGAGGATTTGCCAAAGCCCACAGCCAGTTGAGGCAGCACCCGGGATTCCAGGCCTCTGGCCCCAGCTTCACAGCCCAGACTTACAGTACATATGACCTTCCTTGAGACAGGGCCCCGGCTTACCAGAGCCCTGGCTGTTCAAACTCATCACACGCTAACCCTGTGCCTCTGCTGTACGCAGCCCCGTCGGTTCTACTTCTTTTCTGCAGTTTCTAGAAAGATCTTTTCAATCAAACAAGTCCATATGAAACAGACAGAGAAAAGTCGTTTGTCCCTTGATCGACTAGTCTGAACTAGAAACTCCAGAGACCAGGATTTGGTGAAAAGCAGAAAGCAAATGACCCGCAAGCTCAGTCCTCTCCAGGGCACACCCAGAGCTCCGCTCTGCTCTCGGGCTGCAGCTAAGACCCGGAAATGACCAGGCGGAAAGGACAGCTGTCCAGAAGTTACAAGAGCGTCTCTGCAGCTCACATCTTTAAAGTGCCCATGGTCACACTGTGGGTCACAGCAGATAGGCAGCAAGGGCAGAGACTGGCCCCAGAGGAGGAGAGAAGGGAAAATATAAGAAAGTTCAGAGACCAGAAAAGCAGACAAGCCAAGGGCATTTGACACGACCCAGGAGTAAGCTTAAGAGACCAGTTAGCTCACTACAGATGAACTCAGAACTTTGAGGGAGCACACTGCTGAGGAAGAGAAGCCGTCTGCCTTTGGCAGAGCTCAACAGAACAAGACGTGGACACTTGACACAGATGTCAAGAGGCACAGACACACATGGATGCCAGACAGCACTGAGAGGCCACAACACAGCCCTTTGTACTCCTAAAACCCAAGTGGGGAACTAATCTTTAACAACTGTTCCTGAGTTAAAGGTTTGTTAAAATGTTTGCCTGCCTTTTCCAAATACGCCTAAGAGCAACTGTTCAGCCTTTGAACAACAACCATCGGAGTTCTGGTGAACTACAAAGGTCACACACACATTCTCACACACACTCACACAGTGTACTATTAAGTCTGATATGATTTAAATTAAAAATAGCTTCCATTGCAGATGTCCTAGTACACATAGCTGGGTCAGAAATGGTTGTGGGAAATGAAAACATGATGCCACAAATAAAAACCAGCCCAGGTTTTGATTTCCTGTTTGGGGGCATTTTTTTTTCACGGAAGGTGAGGCCCCACCACTGACCCCCAAAGTAGAAAAGAGGGAAGGACACTCCGTATCTGATGTGCTGGTGGCCAGTGTCTTTGCTTCCATCACCCACTCCCTGAACAGTGACAAAAGTCGCTACAACAGAGTATTGCCATCAACAGAAACTTCTTCCCAGTTCTTCTCCAGAGGGTGTCGAGTAGAGTGACCACGCTCTTGAAAGACGCAATAAGTAGCCATGAAGTCCCCTGCGTCTGGCTGTCCCGACTTTTTTCCTTTCCTTTTCTTTTTTCCTTTTTTTTTTTCTTTTTTGGCGAATTAAAAAGGTGTATGGCTTCTTGTCGCCAGCTCTTGTGAGGTTTAGCTTGGTATCCTACGGTAAAAGTACATATATCCCAGGTCTTTGGGGGGCCGTTCTGAGGCACAAACTTTGTGGTCGTTGTAGATCACCCACCTGAAAACAAAGACAGAAGCATATGGTGTCAGCAATGTGCACGGTGCAGACAGACAGCATTGCACACTGTGGAGCAGAGGCCTCGGCAACTCGGATGCTCCACCATGGCCATGGCCCAACCACTGCATAAGAGGAATGGGATTTTGCAGAAGAACTCCCCACCCCCCAGATCTCTCCTCCAGACAGGGTTTCTTAAGCATATTTGGAAAGGGCAAGCAAACATTTTAACAAACCTATAACTCAGGAAGAGTTGTTAAAAATTAGTTCCCCACTTGGACTTTTTCTCCATGCTGGCCTCTAACTTTACAGGTAGCCCAGGATGCCTTCAAACTGTGCACCACTCTTGGGTTATGTGGTGCTGGGCTGGGGACTGAGCCCGGGACCTTGTGCCTGCTCCACAACAGTCCACAAACTGAGCCACAGCCCTGCTTTCTGGTTCCTGAATTCAATATAAAACTAGTTACTAAAATGTACTGGAATTCTTCAAATGTTAAAGTTCTGTAATTCTCTTTGTAGAAACCCATAAAGAGCCTCAAAAAGCAATCCAAGAATTATATACAGTGATGTATATTTAAGTCTTGGTATAGAACATCCTAAAATCCAGAAATAAACATGTCTCAGTAAAGTATTAAATAACTGTGAACATTTCCTCCAAGAATATTTGATAAAGAAAGAAAATAATCACAATATAGTATGAAGACATAATATGGATGAATAATCACAATTTAATTTGGAAAGGTCACGCAGGTTATATTAGTAATGTATGTATATGTACATGCATATACATATATGTACACAACAATAATTAATCAAAAAGGGGCCAAGAATTTGAAAGGGAGCAAGGAGGGATATGTGGGAAGATTTGAAGCAGAAAAAGGAAGGTAGACATTTTATAATTACATTATAATCTCAAAATTTTTTAAAGTAAAAAAAACCCCACAAATTCTAAGAAAACAAAAACAAAAAGGATACAATTCCCTGCACATACTTTAAGGTAGAAGTTCAAGTGCATAAATATGTATATATGTAAGAGTGTGTGTATGTATGTGTGTCCTCCCCCAAAGACACCAACAAAATGTAAAAACAAAGAAAGACATCAACATGTAGAAAATGGCCATCCTTAAGCTTACAAAATACATAGTTTTTACATTGTTTTGTACTGTGCTAATTTGTAATGATTTCTCTACTTAAGCCACTCAATGAGGTCATCATGTATGTAAATTCCTATGTAAAAAAACAGATCGTCCATTTTCAACATGAGGTGCATTTAGGTTCATCTACACTACAGACCAAAGGTCTCTCTCTCTCTCCCCTAGTCTGCGGCTGCTTGTCCAAAAATGGTGCAGGTCCTCTGCTATAGAAGGAGCCAAAGATTTGAAAGGCAGTCTCAGCTGTTCATGGGATGAGACTCTGTGTCCCAAGTCAATGGGATGGGGAGTTTGGGGCAAATCCAGGCCAATAGAAGTTGGCAGTTGAGCAACTTGCAAAACCACTGTCTTGGGCCAAATCAGTCCGACCGCCATTACTGCCTTTTCTCTATGCTCTGTCCCCTTCTACATAATGGTATGTTACAAACTGCTTCATTTTCACCAGCCTCTTGAATTTGTTTTTATCTTATTTCCAATCACAGATCTGTGTTCTTTGCTTGACTCTACTGATCAAGTAAAGAAGCTAAAATTAAAAGACATGGAAAAAAGAAGGAGGGGGAGGAAGAGGAGGAGGAAAAGTAGAAAGAAAACTGGAGTGGGAGAATCATGGCGACTCCCTGACTCAGCTTCTTTCTCCCAGCATTCTGTTCTGTTTACTCCGCCTACCTAAGGGTTGGCCTATCAAATGGGTCTAGGCAGTTTCTTTATTAACAAGAAATCACTCCCACATCAATTGAATCTGTATGGGAACTAACCATCTAGGTCACAGGAGACATGGGTGAAAGGTCAACACCCTACCTGGGTGGGTGAGTGTATGTGTTGTGCCAGTGTCCATGTGATATGAACAAGCAAGAAAGCCCATCGCAGGCTACAGCAGGGAACTGAAGGAAAGGCACCCAAGGAGAAGGTCTGAGGTTAGATCACCTCATTCCTACCTCATCACAAACCTCCAAGTTTGACTCAAGAAGCTAACTTCTAGGTTGCCATGCAACAAAGCACCTAAGGTAGAATACAGTTTACCTGGCTTAATCAGGCAAACAACAAATAACTCATTAACATAAATATGTTCGTGTAATATTGCAAACAGGCAGTGTTAGAAACACACTTAAATATTCTCTTGTAAAAATCTATTTATTCTATGGAGGTTCCAAACACAGCCTATCTTATGCTGTACTGCACCTTTATCTGAGGACATCACCTTGGCACAATAAAGTGAATATCAGTTCCAGCATACTTGATGACTAGCTAACCTGAGCCCCAGGGGTTGGATTTGTAAAACAGTTAAGCAAACAACCTATCAGGCACATAGGTATGCCTGTAATCCCAGCACTCAGGAGGCTGAGGCAAGTGGATATTAGTTCGAGACCACCTGCTCTACATAGTGAATTCCAGGTCAGCCAAGGCTACAGAGCGAGACCTCTGTCTTAAAAAAAAGAAAGAAAGAAAGAAAAGAAAAGAAAAGAAAAGTAAAAACCAGAAATAACATAGAAAATACTTGTGAAATGGCTGAACCCAGGAGGGGCTCAATACCACAGCTATCTACTTCCTTTCCAAAAGAAAAAAAAAAAAAAAGACTCACCGTCCCTCCTTTTTGATATGGCAAACATAATGGCCACACATTGTAGATGTTCCCATGTGACTGATGAAGGCAAATAACTCATACACTAGGGAAGAGAAAACAGTGCAGTTAGAAGGCAGCAGTCAAAAACCCAATATGCTTCTAAGCAGAACCTGGAACCAACAGGGGAGCTACTGGCTCTCTAGACTCACAATTCAAGCCAGTTAACCATGCTACATTGACCATATGTGTGAGAGCATTGCATGCATGCATGCACACACACACACACACACACTGATATGGAGTCTCATCAGGAATAAAGTACGGCAAACAAACACTGCCGGTGCAGGGTTAACCCCCACCTCCTGCCTGCCCCACCCTGCATCACCCCTGCAGCAAGCTCTCAGCTCTGAAAGACTTATGAGGGTGGGAAAGTTGCTCCATCTTTTAGGGCCTGTTTCTATCGCCGAGTTTGAAGAAAACAGAAGAGAGGAAGGAGGGGAGGGGAGGGGAGAGGAGGGGAGAGGAGGGGAGGGGAGGGGAGGGGAGGGGAGGAGGAAATATTCCTATGTGAGTAGGAAGCATAAATATGGGCTGGCACATCCATTTCTATGGCTCAATTTTTCATTATATTTTTACAAAAATAAGAAGGTTCTGGATCCAGCTTCATCTCACCCTTCTCTTCCCTACTCTCCCACTTGTATTTTACCTGTTGACCAAAATTCTCCTTCGCCAAATACTTGTCCCTGGACATAACCTCTTGGCTGCCCAGATGCCACACTCGTGGTCTCCCATCTGCTGGCACCCCCTCATCTCCTTACCTACCAAAGTAGTGCCTGCAGCTTTGGTATCAGATATTTGGGGTTTTTTTTTCTCCTCAATCCAGACATCCTCTTTCTGGTTAATCCCATCCAGTCTTCTGGAGCAAATGTTATTGCTTTCACAGTTTTGTTTCTAGAAAGCTAATCATTCATATATAGCATAAAACTTTGGGCATGGGGGGAGCATGCCTGTAATCCCAGAACTCAGGGGGCTGAGGCAGGAAGATACAGAATTTGAAATGAAACCCTACCTCAAAAAGAAAGAAGAAAGAAAATGAAGCAACAGCATAATCCTGAATTTTGTACCTTGCTTATTTCCAGCAACCTTGCAGTGCATACTTGTTGGTTCTTAAGGTTTTCTACAGGTAAGGCCATGTCACCCAGATGCCTTTTATTGGGTTGAGGAATTTCCTTCTATCACCAGTTGGTTGAGCTTCTCCTCAGCCTTACCATCTCAATTGACGGCAAGTTCATTCTTCTACTAACTTACGTCAAAAATCTTGGTATCTCTCTTGTTCCTTGTATCTAACCAAATCATTAGCATCATCTCCTTCCAAACACATCCAGAACCCTGTCATGACACCCTCCCCCAGTCATGCTCCTGGTCCATGTCACCATCGCCATTCTCAACACTGGTTACAAGTGTCTTAACTGACCTCTGTCCCACCCCTGTCTCTGATGACCTGGGCTATTTATTTATTTATAAACCTCATACCAACATGTAAATTTGGATATAAGCTGGTAAATCAATATTAATAGAAAATTTATCAACTGCTATGTTTCATTTGCTATCATATTGACTGGCTGAAATGTAATCCTAGTTTAGAAAGCAGACTAGGAAATGATGTAGAATAATTTTTTTGAACATTGTGAAGATGTGTTCCCCTCATTAGTTTAATAAAGAGCTAACTGGCCAATAGCTAGGCAGGGAGAGGTTAGGCTGGAGAACCAGACTGAGAGAATGCTGGAGGAAGGTAGGGTTACCAGCCAGACACAGAGGAAGCAAGAGATGATCTTGCCATGCTAAAGAAAGGTATTGAGCCATGTGGTAGTACACAGACAAGAACTATGGGTTAATTTAAGATGTAAGAGCTAGTCAATAAGAAGCCTAAGCTATCAACCAAGCATTTAAAATTAATAGTAATTCTCTGTGTGGTTATCTGGGAGCTGACTGGAGGGACAGAATCTTCTACTAACAGACAAAACGGTTGCAATGATTATACCTGGAATTCAATTTTCAAAAAAGGATCAAGAGATTTTACATTTGTCTGTCCTTCTCTGATCTTCCCTCCCACACAAAGAAGCCACTCTACCTCAGGAGGCAGGAAAGGCTATGGGGGGAACCTTTCCTTAACCAGGTAGTTTTTTAAAGCAAACCTCTTTGGAATAATTTCATATCAAATACCAAATCTTCAGCTGAAGAGACACAATGCTGTTGTCCCCAAGTGCAGTTCATGAAGAGAGAACACAACTCCCCAAGGCTTATTCCACCACAAAACAACTGTTTCCTGAAGAGTAAGTTCTGCAGTTCAATTAGAGCATGAAGAAGCACTCCCCACCCCAAGTCAGGACCACCTCAGTGTCACATTGTTCGTACCCCCACATAGCAGAATGCCCAGCTGAAGAAGACAGACAAACCCAGATGTTATCAATAGAGCCACACCATTAACTCCTGTCTTAGATCTCCAATGCCTTGATAAAATACCATGAGCGAAAGTAACTTGGGGTGAGCAAAAGTAACTTGGGGTGAGAAGGGTTTATTCTACCTTACAATTCTCAAGTCACGATCCATCATCAAAAGAAGTCAGGGCACTAACTCAAGGCAGGAACCTAGAGGCAGGAACTGAAGCAGAGGCCATGAAATGTGCTGCTTACTGGCTTGCTCACTATGGCTTACTCAGCCTGCTTTCTTATACCATCCAAGGCCACCTGCCCAGAGATAGCAATGCCCACAGTGGGATGGGCCCTCCCACATCAATCAAGAAAATGCACTACGAACTTGCCTACAGGCCAATCCTATAGAGGCATTTTCTCAATTAAGATTTTTTTTCTTCCCAAATGACCTTAGTATATGTCGGGTTGACATAAGATTAGCCAGCACCATCCCCAGAGGTACTTTCCCCCCTTCAGTTAAGAACGAAATGTATGTGTATACTCAGAATCATAATAAAATTAAAGTATGTACATACATTCAGAATCTTAAAAATAAAATTTTGAAGTTTAGCATGAATCATGGTCTCATAATTTAAATTAACTGTGTTTATCAATATAAGCAACTCCTCCATGCATTATTCAAAACCTCCTGCTAGGGACTGACAGAAAAAGAGAGAATCTCTTTCAACACATTTGCAGAAGGCAAGTAAGTAAGCAATGCCAATTAATGTTGTTTCCAAAAAAGACTGAAACAAGTAGGGCCAATGGGAAAGCTACTTGGTTCTTCTCTAAGTCCCCTGAAATCCCGTTCCAAACAACAGCCTCGTCATGCACATTCCTCATAAGCAGGGAGAAAAGGCAGCTTGAGGCCAAACTAAATGGCTCAGAAATGCTGACTTTCGACAGAGAAACATTCAAAGTCCCTGGAACAATATGAGGTACCTGACCCAATGCTACGCCCTCCATCCCAGGAGAAGCAGCTAAATGGTCAGCCTCAAATTACATGTGAAACAAGTACTCTCCTCCCCACAAAACCTGCTCTGGTTCAACTTTATGAAAACTATCTCAGCCTTTCAAATAAGGAAGGGTTGTTTGTTTTTTTAATATCAGATGGTGCCACCACCATCCCCAATCAATGGAACACCAATTGTACTCTATACCACTGTTCTTCGAGAGAGCATCTGTCAGGAAAATTCCACAGAAGTTCAAAGGGAAAAGAGACTGACAGCATTTGAATGTCACTGGCGTAAAGGCCACCCTGAGATCACCCACATGATAGAGATTCCATGAGTCGAAGCCCACCCTGCAGCTGCTTTATCCTGGTGAGCTGGGGGAGTAAGAAATGAGAGGAATATGGCACAGTTGTGAACGTGACTGCCAAAATGATAGGCTGCACTTTAACAACTCAGAATTACCCACAGTGATGACATTCAGGTGAGTCTGCATCCCCAAGTCTAAAGGGTCAACTTGGCTTGTCCCACCACTTACTGCTAAAGTCCCAAACTTAGGAAGTTACAGTTTCTGTCCCATGGGACACATAAGCTCATGGGTGCACAGTTTGAACACATCAGCTTTTGCCCTAACTCAGACAAGCTCACCCTAACCTTGCTTTGTTAACTCTCCCTCCAGTAGCCGAGCATCCTTGGACTCGGAAATAGAGCTCTTGCCTGGTGTGCACAAGACCCTGGTTCTGTTCTGAGCACTACAAAATAGGAAACAAAAACAACTATCCTAGTTATTCTGATGTACCCTACAGTGGGAACGTCTGACTGGTCCTCCCATCAACCAGCTAATCTGCGAGTTATGTCATTTCGTATATGAGAGCCTTGACTGCCTTCTAGGAAATCACACTGTAACTACATGTCATTACCCCAATTAACTCCAGCGTTGGAGCTCCCTGACATGAACCTACCGTCATAATCAATTACTATGCACAACAAGTACCAGTGTCTCCTACGGGCACAAACCCAGTCTGCACTGAAAAGAAGAAGCTGGTAGATCATTTGGAGGCCGTGAAGCTCCGTGGTTCACTCCCATTAGCTGTGCTGTGAGGAACACTTTTGGCAATGCTAACAGAGGATCTGTTGCTTTTCAGAAACCAGGAAGCCTAACTGCCTCAATCCAGTTGACACTATCCGTAGCCTCTGAGACAAGGAGTGGTGACAATCCGAACAGAACACCCGGAGCCTTAGCTCGTAGCCTGTTACCCACTGAGAGTGCTTACTACCCCAGCAGTCTTAACCATGGAACCCAGGAGCAGAAAAGCCAGGCACCTCTGCCATACTGTTTCCAATAACAAGCCAGCTGAGCAAATAAGATTGCTATGGATCCCCCAAAAGACAGAAGGTAAAATCACCTTGGGGTCTTAGTCTGCCGCTCACAGGACCTCTGTATTTTCCACACCCGCCCATATGTTCTCCTAAAGCTTCAGAACCTGTGATTGCCACAGGGCTGGCCAGTTTGCCACACAACCAGAGGATCTGTGTAGGGTGGTTAACAGTGGTGGAAGGATTTGGCCATTGCTATGGTGAGTCGCTTGCCCATTCCTCAAGGCAGAACTAGAGAAAAGTCCCCGGAATTCCCAGTCAAAGAAGGCCCTGAACAAGTCTTCTTTTAACCTCCACCTTGGCAA